GTTGAAGGAACTGGGAATCTAATCCAAGAAGAGAGCTGAGTGGGTTCACATCAGCAGGCTTCAAACTTCAAAGGTTGTAGGACTTCAGAGGGCAGATATGACTTGAGTTTGGTTGATAATAGTGCTAGGTAGAATTTAATTTTCTAGTCAAGGGAATATTGCAAAACAGTATTTTAATGATTTTAAACGATCTTCAAAAGTATAATGATCAAGGGTAGTGATTCTAAGAATAATTCTATCATGGAAGGACAATATATTACCATATTCTGCTTTTAGTGTCCAACTAAAGTCACCTTGGACTTCTCTTCCTCTGTCCACTCCCTTAAAAGTTGGTATTGTTCTGGGTGTCAGTGGCTCACTTATCTTTGCATTCTGCTCACTCATTCTGGACAATTTCATATATTAACCCATTTAGTTCCCACTCAGATTTGGATGACTTCCAAATCTTACTTCATTTCCTTTCCCAGAAATTCCAACTAGGCATCTCCACTTGAGTGTCCCACAGGTACTGCTATGGTTTGAATATTTCCCCTCCAAAATTCAGTTGAAATTTAATCCCTAATGTGACAGTATTTTTTTTTTTTTGAGACAGTTTCACTCTGTGTCCAGGTGCCAGGCTGGAGTAGTGGCACAATCTTGGCTCACTGCAGTCTCCGCCTCCTGGGTTCAAGCAATTCTGCCTCAGCCTCCCGAGTAGCTGGGACTACAGGTGCGTGCCACCACACCCAGCTAACTTTTTGTATTTTTTTAGTAGAGATGGGGTCTGTTACTGGTCTGTTGTGATGCTGTGCTTCCGTGGTCACGTTCCATGTCCACTCTCATGTTCTCATTCTGCACCTGGCTCCTTTTTCTTAGAAGAGATAATCAGTAAAAGCAATCTAAATCTTATTGTCTTTGTTCTTTCTTAACAAGTATGGAAAAGTGCTGGTGCATTATGCTCCTTACCTCATCTTGGCTACCTGAAAGCTTTGGGCCCCCACCTATATGACATGTGATGTACTTGATCACCAACCACCAATGCCATGCCCTACCTACCCTGCTCCCAGCTGTGTACTCAATAAAAGAGTGTCCAGGCACTTGGGGCCATTGCTGGACTCCATGCTTTTGTTGGCAGTGGACCCCTGGGTCCAAACTCTCTTTTCTCTATCTCTGTGTCTTATGTCTTTTATTTCTGCAGTTTCTCATCTCCACACTAGCAGAGAGGGGCTCAAAGGACTCTGTAGGGCTGGACCCTACAGCCGGGGTCTCGCCATGTTGCCTAGGCAGTGTGGAATATTTAGTATCATCCGCACTTGCCTGCCACCCATTTGATGCCAAAAGACCCCTCCTCTTGCCTCCCCACCCCCCAAATCTCCCCTGGAGACAAAATTGCCCTGGTTGATCACCCCTGATCTGATAGTACCCTCCGGCTATATGGAAAAACTGCTAAACTTGGAAGCAAAAGGTGAGTTTCAACCCTAGTTTTGCCACCTGAATATAGACGTTTATACACACACATTTCAAAACAATGCAAAAATTACCTGGCTGTTCAACTTCCTCTCTCTCCCCATGCCTCTAATGGAATATTCCAACCCCAGAACAGTGGGTATTTATAACCCTCCTTATTCCTCTTGTATTTGCATCTTTCAGGCAGGAACACATTTCTGTCCATCTCACCTAGACAATCCTGAGTCACTCTTCAAGACTAATCTAAGTGCAGACAAGCTAAAAGCAGGCCCCTGAAAGGTAGAGGTGGCTACCCCATGGCAGGAGAGGGCTCAGAGGCTCTGATGAAACATGCAAAGCCACTAGTGCCTTGGTTTTAATGTTAAGGGACCACCTAAACTTTACTGAAGATGAAGCTGATTCTGGCTGAAGAAAACAAAAGTTGCCAGGAAGCTTCTCAGGAAGTAAAATTGAGGAACAGAGCTCACATCTGACTCAAAGCACGTTTGAAGAGACAGAACACAAATAAGGCTTGGGTTCTTTGAAAACAGAGTCCCAACGATTGATAGGAGCTGGGGTTCCGGAGAAGGTCTAGGTAGTTTCCTTTATCAGTTTTTTTTTTTGAGATGAAGTTTCGCTCTTGTTACCCAGGCTGGAGTGCAATGGCGCGATCTCGGTTCACCACAACCTCCGCCTCCTGGGTTCAGGCAATTCTCCTGCCTCAGCCTCCTGAGTAGCTGGGATTACAGGCATGCGCCACCATGCCCAGCTAATTTTTTGCATTTTTAGTAGAGATGGGGTTTCACCATGTTGACCAGGATGGTCTCAATCTCTTGACCTCGTGATCTACCTGCCTCGGCCTCCCAAAGTGCTGGGATTACAGGCATGAGCCACCGCGCCTGACCGAGTTTTTTTTTGTTTTTGTTTTTTGAGATGGAGTTATACTCTTGTCACCCAGGCTGGAGTACAATGGTGCCATCTTATCTCACTGTAACCTCCACCTTCTGGTTTCAAGTGATTCTCCTGCCACAGCCTCCTGAGTAGCTGAGATTACAGGTGCCCGCCACCATGTCTGGTTAATTTTTATATTTTTAGTAGAAACGAGATTTCATCATGTTGGTCAGGCTGGTCTCAAACTCCTGACTTCATAATCCACCTGCCTCGGCCTCCCAGAGTGCTAGGATTACAGGCATAAGCCACTGTGCCTGGCTGCCTCCCTTATTTTAACAGACAAACCCCTCGGACTGTGCAGGGTTTTTTGTTTTTGTTTTATTTTGTTTCGTTTGTTTGTTTGAGATGGAGTCTTGCTCTGTCACCTAGGCTGGAGCACAGTGGCATGATCTCGGCTCACTGCAACCTCCACCTCCCAGATTCAAGTGATTCTGCTGCCTCAGCCTCGTGAGTAGCTGTGCGTGCCACCACACTGGGCTAATTTTTGTATTTTTAGCAGAGATGGGGTTTCACCATGTTGGCCAGGCTGGTCTCAAACTCCTGGCCTCAAGATCAGTCTGCCTAGGCCTCTCAAAGTGCTAAGATTACAGGCATGAGCAACCTCACCTGGCCTGTTTTGTTCTGAGATCAGATGGAGTCTCCCTCTGTCACCCAGGCTGGAGTGCAGTGGCACAATCTCGACTCACTGCAACCTCCGCTTCTCGGGTTCAAGCAATTCTGCTTCAGTCTCCCAAATTGCTGGGATTACAGGGGTAAGCCACCATGCCCAGCTATCTTTCTTTTCTTTCTTTCTTTTTTCTTTGAGAAGGCTGGAGTACAGTGGCTCGATCTCAGCTTACTACAACCTCTACCTCCCGGGTTCAAGCAATTCTCCTGCCTCAGGCTCCCAAGTAGCTGAGATTACCGTCACCCACCACCACGCCCAGCTAATTTTTATATTTTTAGAAGAGATCGGGTTTCACCAAGTTGATCAGGCTGATCTTGAACTCCTGAACACCTGATGTCAGGTAATCTACCCCCTTCAGCCTCTCAAAGTGCTGGGATTATAGGCATGTGAGCCACCATGCCCGGCCTGTGCAGGGTTTGGATCAAAGACTGGTACCCTGTCATTTTCACCCAGTGAATACAAGGAAGTTATGCAGAACAAGCCACATGCCCTATTCCCTGGGGAGGCAAGCTCCTCCTAGCCAGTCTCAGCAAGGTCTTGCCAGTCTGACATCCACAGAGCACTGAAAACCCTGGGAGGCATCAACAAAATCATTCTAGAAAACACTAAAGGAGGTGAACATGCCCAATACACAGTATTTCCTACCATTCTCTTCCCCACTTTTCTCAAATTGCCTCATGTAACACAACATCGTCCCTCCATTTTTGTCGATCTTCCCCAGCTCTCCAAACTCCACCTGTTCTGTGCCTCCTCTCCAGGTGAGCCCCTTCCCTTGTAAACTTTCAAATTCTGTTCTTCACTCTGGTGCTTATCTCTCAGTCCTTTCCAACAGATCAGACTAGTCTCTGCTTCCTCAGATTCCCAGATCCACCCACTAACCCAGCAGGACAAAAAAAAAGTCCAGGATCTGTAGTTGCCAGAGCCACAGGTCTCTTCTCGGGAGAACGAGGTAGAGGGTGATCATGCTCAGATAATTTTCATGTCACAGAATGTAAGAAAAATATCCAGATGTCCCTCACTGCAGGACTTACCCTCCTGTTAACAGCCCCCACCTCCTGCCCTTGTGGCTTTCTATCCTCTACATTTCTTTTTTTCCTCAGACGAAGTCTTGCTCTGTCTCCCAGGCTGGAGTGTAGTGGCATGATCTTGGCTCACTGCAATCTCTGCCTCCCAGGTTCAAGTGATTCTTCTGTCTCAACCTCCCGAGGAGCTGGGATTACAGGCACCTGCTACCAAGCCCAGCTAATTTTTGTCTTTTTAGTAGAGACAAGATTTCGTCATGTTGGCCAGTCTGCTCTCAAACTCCTGACCTCAAGTGCTCCACTGGCCTTGGCCTTCCAAGGTGCTGGAATTATAGGTGTGAGCCACCATGCCTAGACTAATTTATTTATTTATTTTTTGAGATGGAGTCTTGCTCTGTCGCCCAGGCTGCAGTGCAGTGGTATGATCTCAGGTCACTGCAACCTCTGCCTCTCCGGTTAGAGCAATTCTTCTGCCTCAGTCTCCAGAGTAGCTGAGACTATGGGTGCCTGCCACCACACTGGGCTAATTTTTGTATTTTTAGTAGAGACGAGGTTTTACCATGTTGGCCAGGATGCTCTCGAACTCCTGGCCTCAGGTAATCTGTCCACCTCAGCCCCCTGAAGTGCTGGGATTATAGGAGTGAGCCACCACACCATGATCATTTTTTTTTTTTTTTTTTTTTTAGTATTTTTTTTTGGGGGGGAGGAAGGGAGGGAAGAAGGACGGTAGGGAGGAAGGAAGGGATGAAGGAAGGAAGGAAGGAAGGGAGAAAGCGGGGAGGGAGGGAGGGAGGGAAGGAAGGAAATCAAGCAATGAGAGAGACATTGCCGACCTGGATCTAGAGGTTTACAAGTTGATTTTTTTTGAGAGAAGGAAAGAAAAAAAAATAATAATAAGTAAAGGAGAGGAAGAAAGAGGAAGAGAAAGAGGGAGAGTAAATGGAAATATTGCTTTATTTTGAAAAAACTTGGGTATTAATAATGGCCAATCAATGTTTCATTTAAACTTATGGGTAGGTGTGATGTGGTATTGACAATAATGTATATTTTGTGTATTTGAAGTGGAGAGCTCTATAAATATTTATTAAGTTTACTTGTTCCGGATCTGAGTTCGAGTCCTTGATATCCTTATTAATTTTCTGTCTCATTGAATCTAAGTCTCGTATCTGGGTGTTAGGATCGTTAGTTCTTGTTGTTGCATTGATCCTTTTACCACTATATCTTTGTTGCTTTAAAATCTATTTTATCCAATACGAGAATTGCAACTCTGCTTTTTATTTATTTATTATTTATTTTTGCTCTCCATTTGGTTGGTAAATCTTTCTCCATCCCTTTGTTTTGAGTTTTTGTGTATCCCTGCATGTGAAACAGGTCTGGATGTAATATGCCATTGGGTTTTGGCTGTGTCTTTTGATTGGGGGATTTAGTCAATTTATATTTAGGGTTACTGCCATTTGATGTTGACCGGCTGTTTTATCCATTTGTTGGTGTAAATTCTTCTTTATGTTGGTGCTCTTTACTTTTTGGTGTATTTTTAGAAAGGCTAATACTGGTTGTTTCTTTCTGTGTGTAATGCTTCTTTCAGAAGCTCTTGTAAAGCAGGCCTGGTGGTAATAAACTCTCTGAGTTCTTGCTTGTTCATAAAAGATTTTATTTTTCCTTCAGTTATGAAGCTTAGTTTGGCTGGATATGAAATTCTGGGCTGAAGGTTCTGTTCTTTGAGGATGTTGGATATCGGCCCCCACTCTCTTCTGGCTTGTAGAGTTTCTGCTGAGAGATCTGCTGTAAGTCTGATAGGCTTGCCTTTGTGGGTAACCTGACCTCTCTCTCTGGCTGCCCTTAGTATTTTCTCCTTCGTTTCAACCCTGGTGAATCTAACGATTATGTGCCTTGGGGTTGCTCTTCTTGAGGAATATCTTTGTGGTGTTCTCTGTATTACCTGGGGTTGAATGTTGACCTGCTTTGCTAGTTTAGGAAAATTTTCCCGAATAATATCCTGAAGGGTATTTTCCAGCTTGGATTCATTCTCTCCTTCGCATTCAGGTACACCTATCAAACGTAAATTTGGTCTTTTCACATAGTCCCACATTTCTTGGAGACTTTGCTCATTCCTTTTTATCCTTTTTTCTCTAATCTTTTCTTCGCGTTTTATTTCATTAAGTTGGACTTTGACCTCTGATATCCCTTCTTCTGCTTGAACAATTCGAGTGTTTAAACCTGTGCATACTTCTCAGAGTTCCTGTATTGTATTCTTCAGTTCCATTATTTCACTCATACTCCTCTCTAAGTTGTCTATTCTCAATAGGATTTCATCAAACTTTTTTTCAAAGTTCCTAGTTTCTTTACGTTGGGCTACAACATGTTCTTTTAACTCACCGAAGTTTGTTATTATCCATTCCTTGAAGAGTGATTCTGTCATCAGGATGCGCTCGTTCTCCATCAAGCCTTGTTCCATTGTTGATGTGGAACTGTGATCATCTTTAGAGGGAGAGGCGTTCTGACTTTGAGTATTCTCAGCTTTTTTACGCTGGTTTCTTCCCGTCATTGTAAATTTATCCTCCTGTCGTCTTTGAATTTACCAACTTTCAGATTAGGTCTCTTGAGTGGACTTCCAGGTTGTTAGTTCCCAGGGCCAGAGCAGCGGCGTTAAAACTGATGGTGCTTTTCTGCCCAGGATTCTCCTGTCTGGCTTCCTTCTTGTGTCCGTAGTAGGCGACTCTGCCTTCCCGGGGCTCCAAACCTCGGTCAGAAGGGGAACCGGTCCCGTTTACTCTGCACTGAGCGCTGCCGCGCCAAGGTGCCATCACAGCTGCTGTGCCAGGCTCTGGTGTCCTGCTGGGGGCCCGTGCGGGTCCTCCAAACCTGTTTACTCTGCTCTGAGAGCTGCCGCGCCGAGGTGCCGGAGGAACCGCTGCGCTGGCCACGAGAGTCGTGCTGGCCACCCGTATGTTTCCTCCACTGGGGGATCTTCTGCTCCGTGAGCGACCAGAATTTGTCTGAAAGTGTGGTGTCCTCTAGTTCTCTGCGCTTTCCCTGAGAGCTGCAATCCCGGGATGTTAGCGATCGGCCATCTTGGATCGTTCCCCCCGATCATTCTTAATAAGTTATATCATTACATTGTTAGTAGTCTAGTTACATAAATTGTATATGTAACTATACACACACACACACACACACACACACACACACACACACACACACATATATATATATATTTTTGAGATACCCAGGCTCCAGGCTGGAGTGCAATGGTGCCATCTTGGCTCACTGCAACCTCCTTCTTCCAAGTTGAAGTGATTCTCCTGCCTCAGCCTCCTGAGTACCTGGGATTACAGGCACATACCACCCATGCCCAGCTAATTTTTTGTATTTTAGAGATGAGTTTTCACCATGTTGGTCAGGCTGGTCTCCAAATCCTGATCTCATGATCCACCCACCTCGGCCTCCCAAAGTGCTGGGATTACAGGTGTGAGCCACCACACCCGGCCGTAACTTATATTTTTATATTCCCTGCATTGTACCTGCTTTCCTTCCCACCACCATTGGCGTCTTTATTTTGGCTTCTGTCTTTCATGAAAGAGACTTCCCTCAAATCCTGGTCTTCATATTTTAGCAGAGGCACTTAAAGGCCAACTGAATGCTCTCTAGGACTCGTTGATTGGCATCTTCCCTGCAGGGTGAGGTGGCAGAGACAACTATTGTGTTGAGAACTCTCAATACCCAGAGAACTTTTAGACTGCTCAGTTCTCCCAGAGAAGAATCCTGCAGCCTCCGGCCTGGGGAGCATGAACCTGGCTGCCAGTGCTCTAGAGCCAGGAGAAAGAAGCTGCAGTTTCTCTCGCTCTCCACCCTCAGCCGGCTGCGGAACTGAAGCCCAGGGCCTCACTGGTTCATTCTCAGGAGACAGTCCATGCACCTCCTGCCTTTTTTGGTGGGGGATGGGAGAGAGGCAATCACTCAGCTGACCAGGCTGGAGGAGGGAACATGGGGTCTAACTGCTCCTTATGTCGACTTTAAACTCACCCTTCATTTCCAGCCCCCTCCTTCCACCCCTACCTTTGCAAAGCTTGATGCTCCCAGTCCTAAGCTTTTAGTGGTTCCGAGTCAACTGTTGTTATTTGCACTGTTCCAACTTCCTCAGACCCTAGTCAGTTTTCTTTCTTCCAAAATGTTTTTGCATATCTTCATGTATTGTTTTCGCTTATGTTCTCCTTATTGTTTTACCATTATTTCACTGGGTATGGGAAAAAAGCAAACATAAAATTACATGCATTCAATTTAAGGCATTTAACAGAGTCTCTCTTCCACCTCCCACCTCTTGCACCCTCAGCCTCCTCTGAGCTCTACCTGAAGGTCATCCATAACCTTTGCGCTGCTCTCCCCGACCGCCTCTGGCTGGAGTGCATTTGGCATCTTGTCTGCCCGGAGCATTCTCACTGTGCCTCCCAGCCTCTCTCCTGGGCAATACTGGCTCCTATTTCCATGTCCAGCGCCTTCCCATTAGAGCATGGGTTTCAAACTTGGAGTTAACGAAATTAGCAGGCCACGAAATCAATTCAGTGCAGCTTAAACAACATTGATTTTATATTTATATACATTGGAAGGAGATGTAAGATATATTTCTTACAGTAGGTCAAGGCTGAAAAATTTGAAAAGCCACTGTATTTGATCCTTCTCACTTTGAACTAGTTGCTGCATCTGAGACGTGACAACTCTGGTTAATAATTAGCAGGTTATGGCCAGGCATGGTGGCTCATGTCTATAATCCCAGCACTTTGGGAGCCTGAGACAGGTGGATTACCTTGAGGTCAGGAGTTCGAGACCAACCTCGCCAACACGGAGAAACCCTGTCTCTACTAAAAATACAAAAATTAGCCAGGCATGGTGGCAGGTGACTGAAATTCCAGCTGCTCGGGAGGCTGAGGCTGGAGAATCATTTGAACCCAGGAGGTGGAAATTCCAGTGAGCCAAGCTCAAGCCACTCCAGCCTGGGTGACAAGAGCAAAACTCTATCTCAAAAAAAAAAAAAAAAATATATATATATATATATATTCACACACTTATTTAGTGTGTTGAATATATATGAAATCAGTGTATAACCTGTAAAGTTATACGAATCTGAACTATTTATCTAAATTAGGCATCTAAAATCAGCTCACGGAAGAGCTAGTGCACCTGAGGAAAAATGGCTGAGTATTGTCACCAAGATTGTGTATTACACACCCAAGGGAGCAAGGCAGAGCTCAGGGAGGGCAGTCATGACAGCCAACTAATCTCCAGAGATTTGAAACCAGCTCAATCAAAGAGCTTCCCCATTCTGGTTCTCTCATTTAGATATTTAAATATCTTTAAATAAGATGTTTGATTATTGAGAACCCATGGGAAGATTTGGGATTTTCTACAAACACTCTGAGAAAAATCATCACTTAAGATTCCTCTTTGGGGCCGGGGGCGGTGGCTCACGCCTATAATCCCAGCATTTCAGGAGGCCGAGGTGGGTGGATCACGAGGTCAAGAGATCGAGACCATCCTGGTCAACAAGGTGAAACCCCATCTCTACTAAAAATACAAAAATTAGCTGGGCATGGTGGTGCGTGCCTGTAGTCCCAGCTGAGGCAGGAGAATTGCTTGAACCCAGGAGGCGGAGGTTGTGGTGAGCCGAGATCGTGCCATTGCACTCCAGCCTGTGTAACAAGAGCGAAACTTCGTCTCAAAAAAAAAAAAGATTCCTCTTTTCGGGCCAGGCATGGCAGCTCACGTCTGTAATCCCAGCACTTTGGGAAGCAGAGGTGGGTGGATCACAAGGTCAGGAGTTTCAGACCAGCCTGGCCAACATGGTGAAACCCTGTCTCTACTAAAAATTAGCTGGGTGTGGTAGTGCATACCTGTAGTCCCAGCTACTCCGGGGCTGAGGCAGGAGAATTGCTTGGACCCAGGAAGCGGAGGTTGCAGTGAGCCATCGTGCCACTGCATTCCAGCCTGAGTGACAGAGTGATACTCCGTCTAAAAAAAAAATTCCTCTTTTCAGTTGTTAAGGAGGGGCCAATAATAGATTTTTGGGAGGTAAATTTGTATAATGGAAAGAACATAGAACTGAAGACAATACAACAATTTGGGTCCAGATTCTGTCTATACTATAGCAAGTAACTTAATCTCTCTCAACCTCAGTTTCTTATCTGCAAAATGGGAATACATAATATCTATTTCAAAGGTTTTCTCAGGGGATTAAATAAGCTAACATATGAGGAAGAGCAGGACATGACAGTAAGTGTTAGTTTCTCTTTCCATGCCTTTTTCTTTTCTTTTTTTTGAGACATAGTCTTGCTCTGTCTCCCAGGCTGGAGTGCAGTGGTGCAATCTTGGCTCTGCCTCCAGGTTCAAGTGATTCTCCTGCTTCAGCCTCCCAAGGAGCTGGGATTACAGGGGCCCGCTACTGTGCCTGGCTAATTTTTGTATTTTTAGTAGAGATGGGGTTTCACCATCCTGGCCAGGCTGATCTCAAATTCCTGACCTTGTGATCCTCCCACCTCGGCCTTCCAAAGTGCTGAGATTAAAGGTGTGAGCCACCATGCCCACCCAAGACATGGTTTTTAAAAGATTCTGGGATCTCCCTCTTCTTTCTCTTGCTTCCAGTCCTGCCATGTGACATGCCTGTTCCCCCTAGGCCTCCTGCCATGATTAGAAGCTTCCTGAGGCCTTACCAGAAGCTCAGCAGATGCTGTCACCATGCTTCCTATATAGTTTGCAGAACCATGAGTAAATTTAACCTATTTTCTTTATAAGTCAACCAGTCTCCGATTTTTTTTTTTTTTTTTTTTTGAGACGGAGTTTCGCTCTTGTTACCCAGGCTGGAGTGCAATGGTGCAATCTCGGCTCACCACAACCTCCGCCTCCTGGGTTCAGGCAATTCTCCTGCCTCAGCCTCCTGAGTAGCTGGGATTACAGGCACGCGCCACCATGCCCAGCTAATTTTTTGTATTTTTAGTGGAGATGAGGTTTCACCATGTTGACCAGGATGGTCTCGATCTCTTGACCTCGTGATCCACCCGCCTCTCAGATTTTTTTTTTAAAGACAGGGTCGCACTTTGTCATCCAGCTGAAGTGCAGTGGTGCAATCATAGCTCACTGCAACCTCGACCTGAGCTCAAGCAATCCTCCTACCAAAGCCTCTTGAGTAGCTGGGACAACAGGTGGATGCCACCATGCCCAGCTAACTTTATTTTTTGTAGAGATTGAGGTCTTGCTATGTTGACCAGGCTGGTCTCAAACGTCTGGGCTCAAGTGACCCTCCCACCTTGGCCCCTGAAGGATGGGATTACAGGCATGAGCCACCATTCCTAGCTAGGTCTTTCTTTTCTTTTTTTCTTTCTTTTCTTTTTCTTTCTTTCATCATAAAGTTTAATTATGGTTCAGAAAAAACTGAGAGGATAACTTTCTCTGAAAAAACATATTGACTGTTTATAGACTACAGTTATTATGGGGAGAGGCTGGTAGGTTAAATTATCCTATTTTTGAGAGAGATCCAGGATGGCCAATTACTAGCAGCTAAGGATTGTAGCTCCCAGTGAAAGCGCAGAGAACGAGAGGACACTACACGTTCAGATGAATTTTTGTTGCTTACGGACCAGGAGATTCCCAGTGGAAGAGCCCCACGGGTTGCCAGTGTGACTCTTGTGGCCGGCGTGGTGGTTCTCGGTGAAGAGTAAACGGGACCGGGTCCCCTTTTGGTCGATGTTTGGAGTTCCGGGAAGGCAGAGTCGCCCATTCAGCTGATTGAAAAAGGGACTCAAGAGGAAAGCCAAACCAGAGGTTCCCGGGCAGAAAAGCACCACGAAGCTTAATGCCGCTGTTTTAGCTGGCGCAGTGGGTTGCCAAGATTTCGGTGCTGGGAATTAACAAGTTAGACATCTACTCAGAGACCTAATTTGAAAGTCGGTAATTACAAAGACGACAGATGGATAAATTTACAATAATGGGAAGAAACCAGCGTAAAAAGCCTGAGAATACCCAAAATCAGAATGCCTCTCCCTCTACAGGGGATCACAGTTCCTCATCAACAGGGGAACAAGGCCTGATGGAGAATGAGTGTGTTCCATTAACAGAATTAGGCTTCAGAAGGTGGATAATAATAAACTTCTGTGAGTTAAAAGAACATGTTCTAGCCCAACGTAAAGAAACTAAGAACCTTGAAAAAAGGTTTGATGAAATCCTAATGAGAATAGACAATTTAGAGAGGAATATAAGTGAATTAATGGAACTGAAGAATACAATATGAGAACTCAGCGAAGTATGCACAGGTTTTAACAGTCGAATTGATCAGGCAGAAAAAAGGATATCAGAGGTTGAAGACCAACTTAATGAAATGAAATGAGAAGACAAGATTAGAGAAGAAAGAGTAAAAAGGAATGAGCAAAGTCTTCAAGAAATATGAGACTATGTGAAAAGACCTAATTTACATTTGATAGGTGTACCTGAATGTCATGAAGAGAATGAATCCAAGCTGGAAAATATTCTTCAGGACATTATTCAGGAAAACTTTCCTAACCTAATAAGGCAGGACAATACTCAACTCCAAGTAATACAGAGAACACCACAAAGATATTCCTCAAGTAGAGCAGCCATAATCGTTAGATTCACCAGGGTTGAAATAAAGGAGAAAATTCTAAGGGCAGCTAGAGAGAGAGGTCAGGTTACCCATAATGGGAAGCCTATCAGACTCACAGCAGAAACCCTACAAACTAGAAGAGAGTGGGGGTCAATATTCAGTATCCCCAAAGAAAAGAATTTTCAATCCACAATCTCATATCCAGCCAAACTAAGCTTCATAAATGAAGGAAAAATAAAATTTTTCACGAACAAGCAAGCACTTAGAGATTTCATCACCACCAGGCCTACTTTACAAGAGCTTCTGAAAGAAGCATTACACACAGAAAGGAACAACCAGTATCAGTCATCCCAAAAACTTACCAAAAGGTAAAGAGTATCTCCACAATGAAGAATCTATATCAACTAATGGGCAAAATAGCCAGATAGCATTAAACGACAATATTAAACTCACAAATATCAATATGAATCCTAAATTTAAATGGATTAAATGCCCCGAACTGAGACACAGACAGGCAAACTGAATAAAAAGTCAAAACCTGTTGGTACGCTGTATCCAGATCCATCTCATATGCAAGGACACACAAAGACTCAAAGAATTGGAGGAAGACTCACCAATCAAATGGAGAGGAAAAAAAAAAAAACAACAGGACTTGTAACTTTTGTCTCTGACAAAATAGACTTTAATAGTAACAAAGACTAAAAGAAACAAAGAAGGACATTACATAATGGTAAAAGGATCAATGCAACAACAGGAGTCAATGATCATAAATATATATATGCACCCAATATAGGAACACCCAGATACATAAGACAAGTTCTTAATGACTTATAAAGAGACTTGGACTTCCACACAATAATAGTGGGAGACTTTGACACCACATTGTTAATATTTGATGGATCAACGAGATAGAAAATTAACAGGGACATCTATGATTAGAACTCAGACCTGGAACAAGTAAACTCAGTGAATATCTATAGAATTCTTCACCTCAGGTCCACAGAACATAAATTTTTCTCAGTATCACATTACACCTATTTTGAAAGTGACCACATAATTGGAAGTAAATCACTCTTCAGCATTTGCATAGCATTTCACAGATGTAAATGAAACATTGGTTGGCTGTTTGTTATTTTCTTCCCTTATTCCTTCCTGTCTTTGCTGTTAAGCACAACTATTGGCATAAAAGAGGTTTTTAATACCTATTTTTAGATTGCATTCCAGCCTGGGCAATAGAGCGAGACTCTTGTTCTCTCTCCCCCTTTCTCTTTCTCTTTCTTTCATTAAAAAAAAAAAAAGAAAGAAAAAAAGAAAAAAAATTACCCTATTTTCTATTTTGCAAATGATATTAATAGAAAGTCTCATTTCCAGTCCGAGTATAAAGATACATGTGCCCAAAATGGCTGAGAATAAATACAACAGGAAATGCAAAAGCCATAAAGCTAAGGGCATGCAAGAGAAAAATATCAGAAATACCCCAAAATGGCAACAAGGAATGTTTGGCTGGAATTTGAAGTTCTTTGAGTCATCTTTGTCTTTTGATCCACGTTTCAGGATGCTTGTGAACTCAATGTAATTGTAGTTCCCCTTTTTCTCAATAGGTGCTTCTCTGTACAACTCATCCACTTCCTCATCCATAAACTGATCCCCCATGGTTGTCAGCAGCTCTCTCAGGTAATCTTCCTGAATGGTGCCAGTTGCTTCCTCATCAAAGCAAGCAAAAGCATTTCTGATGACATCTTCAGGATCTGTGCCATTTAACTTCTCACCAAACATGGTGAGGAATGTGGTGAAATCGATGGGGCCTGGAGCCTCATTCATCATGGCATCCAGATACTCATCAGTTGGATTCTTCCCCAGTGAAGCAAGCATATCATGCAAATCTTCCTTGTCAATGTAACCATCTCTGTTCTGATCAATCATGTTGAAGGCCTCTTTGAACTCCTGAATCTGTGACTGGTCAAACTTAGCAAACACATTAGATGTTGCATGCTGAGGGTGCTTCTTGGTGGTCTTGGTCTTAACTCTTTTGCTTGACATGGTGGGCACCTCAGCGAGCCCTTCCCTGCAGCCATCCCTAGCTAGGTATTTCTTTCTAGCAACATAAGAACAAATGAATACATGGCCCTTCAAGCATTCTGGCTCATGCTCAAAAATGAGATCCAAAGATTTTTATTTTCTGAGTTTCACAAAGCTTTGGTTATCTGAGCATTTGTAAAGTGGGAGTGGGAAGAGAGGCAGTGTTTATTTTTGTTTAGTCTGCTCAATACAAGTGTCTCCAAACTGGAAGCCTACCATTCTTTTTAATTTTTGTAGAGATAGGGTCTCACTATGTTGCCCGGGCTGGAAATTCTGGGCTCAAGTGATCCTCCTGCCTCAGCCTCCCAAAGTGCTGAGATTGCAGGCGTGAGCCACCACGCCAGGCCTGGAAGCCTACAATTCTTAAGCTACTGATGAATATAGAGAGAAAAAAACTGAATAAACAAAATTCTTAGAATCAAATGATTATAATGAGACATGAAAAGAATTATTTGAAATCTGACAGTTACATACTGAAAAAAATAAAAGCATTCATAAATTCCTGGAGGTAATTTAAAACAAAAACAAGTTTTCCTGGAATACACAATAAAAAAAAAAAAAGGAAAAACAAGTAAAAAGAATACTGGTCAGGTGTAGTGGCTCACGTTTGTAATCCCAGCACTTTGGGAGGCCAAGGCAGGAGGATCACTTGAGGCCAGGAGTTCGAGACCAGTCTGGGCATCAAAGTGAGAGCCCCATTTCTGCAAAATAAAAATTTAAAAATTAGCTGGGCATGGTGGCTTGTGTTTGTATTCCTAGCTACATTCATTTAATAATCACTGAGAATATTCTAGGCTAGTGTTTCTCGGAGTGTGGTGCATGGGCAATCTGTGTCAGAATTCCTTCAGGTGTTCCTACTGAATTAGAAGCTCCAGGACCCGGAAATCCGCATTTTAAACTAGCTTTGTAGGCGATTTGGATTCACACTAAAGTCTGAGGACTACACTGTTCTAGGCACTGTTGGGTGCTAGAACCCAACACGAAATGAGGTAGATGTGGTTCCTGACTTCCCAGTATACTTACGTAGGGTCTGGGGACAGCTCATTGGTTATACGGGTGCTAGAATAGAAGGACGATCACATAGCAGGTGCGCCTACTTCAGTCTGAGGCGGGTACCAAAGTCGAAACTGGAGGAGGGATCTGCATCTCTAGAGAGGTCTGGACTTCAGAGAAATATGGGAGTGTGCCCCTTTCAGCTCGTGGAGACAAAGGGGAGCCATAGCCGTGAACAAAATGGCCAGGGGGAGGGCATCGTGTCTAAGGACCAAATTTTGAAGGACCCCAAACCATCCAGCCTTCCATCCCCAAGATATCCGACTTCGCCTTCGCTGGCCCTTTCGCCGGTCCCTGATGCCCCAGAGAGACGCTTATGGACCTATGCCCGCGCCCAGGGTCGCAGAGCCGCGCACACCCACCCTCTGGCCTCAGGAGAGTCTTCCGACTCGCCACCTCCCAGAGCAAGGCTGGGCAGGGGTTTGGCCGCGGCGCTTCCCAGCTGCCTGGAGAGACGTCGGACACGCCCGCCCTGCGTGATAACGTCAGCGCGCGGCGCGCTGAGGGAGGAGCAGGCGCCGTAGGTAGGCAGGCGCGGGGGCTTCAGTAACCCGGGCTGGGCGGGGGAGAGGAAGGGGCGGGGCAGGGAGTCCGCCAGAGTGCGGGGTTGCGGTCCGGACTCGGAGCAGGAGCCCTAGAGACGCTCAGCACTCGCCACTTCTCCTAGCAGGCCCTGCCCGGCCTGGCGATGGAGTTTCCGGACCTCGGGGCTCACTGTTCGGAGCCGAGCTGTCAGCGTTTGGGTGAGGGGCGGAGCGCGCGGGGGGCGGGGCCCAGCGTAAAGGGACTTCGACCCACAGGTGGGGAGGGAAGGGTGGGTTCCCCGGCTGACAAGGCCGGGGGGCGGGGCTTGAAGTTGGGAGCGATGGCCGAGGGGGCGTGGCCAAGGAGGTAATGGGCTTGGGAAGGGGCGGTGTGTCGCAAATAGGGTGGCGTTTTCCTTCTCCTGCGTGGAAGGCTTGGGTGAGAAGGAAGGACATCGAGGTCCCGCTGGACCTGCAATCCGACCAACTCTCTGCAGATTTCCTGCCGCTTAAGTGCGATGCCTGCTCGGGCATCTTCTGCGCAGACCATGTGGCCTACGCCCAGCATCACTGTGAATCTGCTTACCAAAAGGTGAGGGGGCGATCCTTAGGGTGAAAGCGGGCAGATGGAGAATGCGTGTAGAATCCCCCAGATCTGTGTCTCACAGTGTCTCACATTCCTCTTTTGTCTATCTGAGGCTTTCCGTGCTGGGAAACATTGTTTTCTTGAGCGTTTGTGGGGTCATAGCCAAGTTCTTTCAGGACCAGAGATTTGTTGGACTGGAGTAGGCTACAGACTGACCCTTGCTCCTTGACTATAGGATATCCAGGTACCTGTGTGCCCTCTCTGCAATGTGCCTGTGCCTGTGGCCAGAGGGGAGCCCCCTGACCGTGCTGTGGGAGAGCACATTGACAGAGACTGTCGCTCTGATCCAGCACAGCAAAAACGTAAGGTAAGCACTGTAGGAGTCAGCCACAACCCAGCTGGGACTACAGATGCCTGGAAACCCAAATAGTCGAAGAATCTTAGCAGAAACAACCTTCTCACTTCACCTCAGATCTTCACCAATAAGTGTGAGCGCGCTGGCTGCCGGCAGCGAGAAATGATGAAACTGACCTGTGAACGCTGTAGCCGAAACTTCTGCATCAAGCACCGGCACCCATTGGACCATGATTGCTCTGGGGAAGGGCATCCAACCAGCCGGGCAGGGTAATTGCAGCCAAGTCCTCTACTTGGCTTTGGGACCATCGAATTCTTTTGGAACTGACTCAAGTACTATCATTACAAATTAGGGAGCTTCAACCCCATCCCTGTCGGCTAGGGGAGCCTTTTAGCTTCCTATTCAAGTGCATGTTTTTCCAGAACTCTCCACTTCCTGGGTAAGGCTGGTTCTTGGAGACATGTCAAAAGTATTTCTTCCTTACAGCCTTGCCGCCATCTCCAGAGCACAAGCTGTGGCCTCTACAAGCACCATCTCCAGCTCAAGTGGAACCTTGCCTTCCTGTCCCTCTCCCAGCAGGTAGGCCTGCCTGTTTCCCTGCTCCTCGTTTTTCCCCTTCACACCTCTGACTTCTACCTCTTCAATGTCTGTCGTAGAGCCACAACCCGATCTCCATCCTGGACAGCCCCTCCAGTGATTGCTTTGCAGAATGGCCTGGTGAGTTGGGCAGAGGTTGGATGGGCAAAAACAAGCACACAGAGAGTGAAGTCCAAGGACACTGGTCTTCTTTCTCCCTTTGCAGAGTGAGGATGAAGCTCTGCAGCGAGCCCTGGAAATGTCCCTGGCAGAGACCAAACCCCGGGTTCCAAGGTAACTTAATCTCTTGTGAAAGAGAGAGGGCAAGCTGTAGGCAAAGGCTTGATGTGGAGGGAGGTAGGTGAGACCACTCTGACACAATGCAAGATAATTGCTAGCAACTTGGGCTCAAAATTAAAATAAACCATATGATCTTTGTCAAGTTATTTAACCCACGGAGCCTTCATTTCCTCTATAAAATGGTACAATACTAATACCCACTTTGTAGTGTTGCTATGAAGATTGAGATCATCCCTGGCAGAGCTTAGCACCCTGAGGCCTGACACATACAGATCATTATGTTCAAATTTTAGATCTTACCATCATCTAAAGCCATTCTTCCCTCCCAGTTCTCAGGAGGAAGAAGACCTAGCTTTAGCACAAGCACTGTCAGCCAGTGAGGCAGAATACCAGCGACAGCAGGTATGAGGCTGAGATGAAGATGGATGCTACAGTGGGAGGAAGAATTCGGGGTGGGGGTTCTTCTAAGAGGTGCACAGTTTTGGAACGGTGGTTGTCATTTGGTTTTCAGTATGACTCCAGCCCATGCTGAGCTCTGGAATGAGGGCTGTCCCCTCATTTCCCTGATGTTGCATCCTGTCTTCCCCTCCTTCCCTTCTCCTTGCTCTAGGCGCAGAGCCGTAGCTTGAAGCCGTCCAACTGCAGCCTGTGCTAGGGCCCTGGGCTCGGGGAGGGAGGTTCATCTGAGGAGGACTGTGGCCCTCACACCTCTAGGGTACACAGCGAGAGGAGGTCCGGAGCAGCTTGGAAGGCAGAGACAAGCGGGAGTGATGTGGAGGTCGCCCTGGGAGCCTCTGGAAGGCCTTGCTAGCGCTCCAGCTGCATGGGAGAGAGCAGCTAGCAACTGTTTCCTGGCTGGGCCCTCGGTGGAAGCTGGCCAGGCCCTACTCTCAGCCCCTTCATCATGTCATCTCCCTTATACTGGAGCTGCTCCCATGAGGTGTGGGCAGGAAGGGGCCTAGAGAAAATAAAGAACTTGGCAGTTGATAAGACATACAAGTGGTGTCTATCTCTCTTCTCTTCCACCTCAAACAGAAAAGCTGTGTCAAGAATGCTCTCCTGACTTATGGGTAGAGGCCCACCGCAGTACCCCACCCCACAAAGCCACAGTGATCCTCGCACAGTCCACATTTTATTTCTCCAAAAAGTGCTTTTCTGAAAGGTCCCTTTCCCTTTACTATAGCTAGCACCATACCCCAACACCAGGATGAAATAAGCCAGGGAAAGGGGATACATCTTATTCCCTTCTGGGTTAGTCTTTGAGAAGGATGTGGCCAAACTTTTGTCACCATTCCATGGTCTGAGGCTTAGTGTCTTCAGAGGCTTCTTCTTTTCCCTGCTGCTGCAGCTGCCACATGTCAGCATACACCCCACCTCGGGACAACAGAGCCTCATGCCTGAGGTGAGGAGGAAAGTGTGAGTTCCAACCATCAGTTTTACCCCAAGGGTCCTTGTCACCAGCCCACAGAGAGGACAGGGGATGGGCAAGGGAGGTCCCCTCTAGAAGCCCTTGGGACTTCACACCCCTTTGCTGGAGCCCCCAATTCAGATCTGTCCTTTTCATCTATGTTGTGTCTCTTACCGTCCCCTCTCCACGATGCAGCCGTCCTTGATGACGAGGATCTGGTCAGCATTGACCACAGTTGAGAGCCTGAAGTCAAAGATCAGTCACCTACTACTCCACCCAAAGTGGGCCCACGCTGCCAGCCGCCCCGGTCCTGTAGTCCTGTACCTGTGTGCCACTACGATGGTGGTGCGGTTGGCACAGACTTTGGCCAGAGAAGCCTGGATGGCCCTCTCATTAGATGTATCCAGCGCTGACGTTGCCTATAGAGAGGGTCCAGGTAAAACTGCCCCTGCCACTCAAAACTCCCAATGGAAGGAGGAGGCAGGCTGCTGGCTAAGGCCTCAAGAATACACAGAGACTTGTTTGGTCTTAAGAACTGTAAAGTGTGTTTTGTGAGACATGGATTCATGATACCTGTTCTAAGTGGGAACAGTGCTCAGCAGGAATGGCTTGAGTATATACAAGGGAGGAAGGAAGAGAGGAGACCCAGGGCGCACCTCATCCAGCAGAATGATGTCCGGAGCCTTGAGGATGGTGCGGGCGATGGCGACGCGCTGCTTCTCCCCACCACTCAGCTTCAGTCCCCGCTCACCCACCTGTGTCCTGTACCCTGTGGATATTACCCGCAAGGTTTCTTACGTGGAAGAAACAAGAAATGGAGGGAACAGGGGTCAGGGATTAACAGGACAACACTGGGAGGAGAGAAGACTCTCTGCAAAGGAATCTCACCTTCAGGGAAGGCCATAATGGCATCATGGATGCCTGCAGCCTGAGCAGCAGCCTCCACCTCATCGTCCCCAGCTGTGACACGGCCATAACGGATATTGTTGGCGATGGTGTCGTTGAAGAGGACAGTGTCTTGAGGCACAACTCCAACATGAGACCGGAGAGAGACCTGGGTTACCTAGGGTCAAATGACCACATATTCTGCCTTGTGAGATACCCCCAAAGCCTGGAATGGAGGATGGGCTGGCCAGAAGCACATGGGATAAGAGGCCCTGGTAAGAATCCCGCCATCACCGCCCCAAATCCTAGCCATGTGGGCAAATCACTCAACCTCTCTGTTTCCCCATCTTCTCTTCCTGCTCCACCAGATTGCTGTGGAGGTTTTTTGTTTTTGGATACAGAGTCTCACTCTGTCACCCAGGCTGGAGTGCAGCGGCAAAATCTCGGCTCACTGCAGCCTTGACCTCCTGGCCTCATGCAATCCTCCCACCTCAGCTTCCTGAGTAGCTGAGACCACAAGCGCTTGCCACCACATCAGGCTAATTTTTAAATTTTTTGTTGAGATGGGATTGCCGAATATGTTGCCTAGGCTACTCTCAAAATCCTGGACTCAAATGATCCTCCTGCCTTGGCCTCCCAGTGTTGGGATTACAAGTGTGAGCCACCACATTTGGTTACAGATCTTTGTACTTTTTTTTTTGAGACAGGGCCTTGCTCTGTCATCCAGGCTGTAGTGCAGTGGCATGATAACAATTCATTGCAGCTTCTTGGTGGGACTACAGTTGTGTGCCACCATGCCCAGTTAATTTTTGTATTTTTTGTAGAGAGGGGGTTTTGCCATGTTGCCCAGGCTGGTCTTGAACTCCTGGATTCAAGTGATCCACCTGCCTTGGCCTCCCAAAGTGCTGGGATTACAGGCATAAGCCACTGCGTCCAGCCCTTTGTACCTTTTATGGCACCATACAGATCCTGTACAGGACTACTTTTCCTGAGTGAGTGTAGGTTTTATTGTGCTAGAATGGCCACAGTTTTTTGCAAGAGTGACATCTACTCTCTCTGGACACTCAGCCCTTATCATTCCTCCACACATAGACCCCTAAACTAATCTTCTCCTGAGCAACCTTACCTGTGAAATGTCCTGCCCATCTATCCGGATGCAGCCAGAGCTGATGTCATAGAAGCGAAACAGGAGGCGCAAAATTGTGCTTTTCCCTGCCCCAGATGGGCCCACCTGTTGCATTAGAAATGGAAAAAATCTCAGGCCCACTGGCTTTTTTTTTTTTTGAGACCGAGTCTCACTCTGTCACCCAGGCTGGAGTGCAATAGTGCGATCTTGGCTCACTGCAACCTGTGACTCCCAGGTTCAAGTAATTCTCGTGCCTCAACCTCCTGAGTAGTGGGATTACAGGTGCCCAGCACCACGCCTGGCTAATTATTATATTTTTAGTAGACACGGGGTTTCACCATGTTGGCCAGCCTGGTCTTGAACTCCTGACCTCAGGTGATCTGCCTGCCTTGGCCTCCCAAAGTGCTGGGATTACAGGCTGAGCCACTGCGCCTAGCTGAGGCCCACTGGTTTTTAAGGTCCCCTCTTCTAGAGATCACCCATGTCCGTGGAGCCTGCACCACTCAATCCTGTTGCCTATTGTGACAGAGCTCTCTGACTCCACAGCCTGGGTCATGAGCTACCACGGGCACTGAATGAGGGAAGATTGAGGTATCTGGGTCAAGTGGCTGGGTCTCCTCTCACCAGGGCCAGTGTCTGTCCAGGCATCACAGTGAAGGACACGTCCTGCAGAGTCTCCCGCCTGCAAGGAAGCATGGGTCTGCTCAGCAGGCGCCTTCTATCACCAGAGCTACTACTAGGCCCTGCCCCTGCCCAGGCTCTTTTCCAAAAGCAGGGATTCAGAGCGGTGAGAAGCAGGAAGGCAGTGTGCAAAACTGCCTTCCTGCTTCAGAAAAAGAAAGGAAGCAAAAAGAAGGCCTCACCCATCAGCGTAGCTGAAGTGCACATTCTCAAACTCAATCCGGCCCTTCTGAAAGCGAAGGGGCCCTGCTCCAGGAAGGTCCTTCACCTGGAAGAGTGCCACCCATGTGTGCTGAGGTTCACAGCTTCGTATGTTTCAGGCACGAGAAACACCACACAGCTCCTCCCTCCCCAAGCCCGACTCCTCTCTGCTCACTTCTCTCTCCTCTTTCAGCAAGTCAAACATGTTCTCCATGTCGATGAAGTTGGTCTGGATCATCCTGCAAGAAGGTGCTGGTTAAGACTTCTCTGAGTAGCCAAGAAGTAGTAATGTGGCCTGGGCAGGTGAGGGCCAGGGCTCAGGTTACCTGTAGTAGGTGCCAAACCAATTGAGGGGCATGTACAGCTGGATAATGTAGGTGCCAAAGAGCACAAAGTCCCCGACCTGTGGCGATCAGGGAAGCAGAGTATGTCATGGGGGGCCTGCAGGCTGCTCTTCTTGTGTCACCCTGCCCACTTCCTACCCAAGAGACTGGTGGCCTAGACATAGGCCCCAGACCCCCTCTTCCTTGTGCGCAACTCTCTTGTCCAAGATCCTGCCTCACCTGTAGCTTCTGCTCACTGACAAAGTATGCGCAAAGCAGGGAGCCAGCAAGGAGCCCAAGCCCAATCACCAGGTTCTGGGTCTGATTTAGCAAAACCAGTGAAGCGCTTGACTTCCACTCCAAACCCTGAGGGCAGTAACACAGGAGAAGGAATGTTCCATACACAGTGACCATCACTGAGTCCAAACCTGGGCCCAGGCTCCTTCCATCCCAACACTCGACTGTTACTCCTGGTCCTGGCAATTCTACCAGGCCAGGGCATTATTCTCCAGAGGCCTCAAGCTAGCATCCTCACCTGAAATTTGATGATGGCCTCTCGATAGCGTTCTACTTCGTAACCCTCAGCGTTGTAATACTTCACCTGAGGAATTCAATCCAAAATTATTCGGCATGGGCACAGCACATGGTACTCAGGTCATTCCCCTCCCCACTGACTCTCAATCCTCCTTCTTGAACCCCCAACTCTTTGTCAGTCCCAGTAGTCCTAGCCACACTCCTCCACCTCTCCATGCCTCACACCACTGCCCCTGGGGCCTCTGTTACCGTCTCAAAGTTTAGCAGAGAGTCCACTGCTCGTGCCCGGGCAGCGTTCTCCTGTGCATTCATAGCGCGGCGAAACTTGGTTCTCCACTCAGTGACCACAATGGTCAGGGCTGGAGAGTGACAGGATAGGGAAGAGAACAGGACATCATCCCCAACAGCAGAGACCAAATGTCAGTGTCCACTACCCGCCACGTACACATTAAACCTGTGCTCAAGCCCAAAGACCCAGATTTCACAGGGTAGCGTCTCCGCAGCCTGCAGAACAGGACATCATCCCCAACAGCAGAGACCAAATGTCAGTGTCCACTACCCGCCACGTACACATTAAACCTGTGCTCAAGCCCAAAGACCCAGATTTCACAGGGTAGCGTCTCCGCAGCCTGCACAAGACCTCATGTGTAGAAAGCGCTTTTGGTAAACAAATGAAAGTAAGCTGCATCTTGTTACACAAATGAGGCTTCCTTGACCTGTGTCCATAGCACGGACTTAACGTGACAAGAATACCCTTCCCCAGCCCTCACCTAGACTAAGCTAAGGTTCGATTACACGGAGGAGACCCACCCAACACATGAGCACTAAGAGTCCATTCAAGTCCACCGATCCATGGCCTCCCATAGGTGGGTCACCTGAGCCGGGGCAGAGCTCATGGCCAAGGGAGCCCTTGGATAGTTCAGGGAGCTGGTGTTACCCAGCGGCACTCACCGAGGTAAAGACTCATGCACAGGAACACAATGAGGCCAAACCAGGCATTGAAGAACATGCTGAAGTAGATGATGCCAATGATGATGTCAGCCAGCGTGGGAATGATATTAAACACCAGGTAGCTAGGAAGGCAGGTCAAGTGACAAAGGTTTAGGTGCTAAGACCTGGCAACCTTGCCTCTAGGCATTTCAGGGTAGTGTTTTATTTTCAATAGAATAATTGATTCTACCCTCAAGAAGTGGGTGGCTAAATCAACCATGCCCAAACTACAGAATTCTCTGTATCAATTACAATGAATGAGGGAGACCCTCATGCACAGGAGAAAAAGTATATCTCTTTAATGTTCTGTTAATAAGCAACTCTGAGAATGATGCCTGTGTCACAATACCATTTGTTTTAGGAAAAACTTCCACAATACCATATCATATTAGCTCTGTGAGTCTGCATATATAGTATGTATGTAAAAATGCAAAAAAAAAAAAAAAAAAAAAAAGCAGAATCCAGCTGGGCATGGTGGCTTACAACTGTAATCCCAGCACTTTGGGAGGCTGAGGTAGGCAGATCACATGAGGCCAGGAGTTGGTGGCCAGCCTGACCAACATGGTGAAACCCTGTCTCTACTAAAAATACAAATATTAGCCAGGCGTGCTGGTACATGTCTGTAATCTCAGCTACTCAGGAGGCTGACGCAGGAGAATTGATTGAACCTGGGAGGCAGAGGTTGCAGTAAGCAGAGATTACGCCACTGTACTCCAGCCTGGGTGACAAAGCATGACCCTGTCTCAAAAACAAAAAGCAGAACCTGGCCTGCTGTGGTGGCTCACACCTGTAATCCCAGCACTTTGGGAGGCCAAGAAGGGCAGATCACAAGGTCAGGGGTTCGAGACCAGCCTGGCCAACATGGTGAAACCCTGTCACTACTAAAAAAAATACAAAAATTAGCCGGGCGTGGTGGTATATGCCTGTAATCTCAGCTACTCGGGAGGCTGAGGTGCGAGAATCACTTGAAACTGGGAGGTGGAGGTTTCGGTGAGCCAAGATCACACACTCCAGCCTGGGTGACAGAGCAAGACTCTGTCTCAGAAAAAAAAAAGCAGAACCCAACATACTAAACAGAGTGGGAAGCTCTGAAAAAGTGAGTGCAGCTTGAAAGAGATTTGCTCTCTGCCTGCATTACTTGAGTTTTTAGGAAAGCATGTGTACAAAAATCCTATGATTTAAAAAACATCAATGTGGGAGAGGCAACTCCTCAGGCTGGGTCTGTTCTCTTCCTCCCATAGGCCCCTATCCCTGCTTCTCTGGCTCCACCCTCCCACATGCCCTTTCCACTGGGTGGCACCTGAGCAGCCCTGTGACACTGGATGTGCCCCGATCAGCGATCCGCAGCACCTCCCCGGTGCGGCGCCCCAGGTGCCAGCGCAGTGAGAGCTCGTGCAGGTGGGAGAAGATGCGTAGCTCCACTTGCTGAGACGTGAACTGCTGCACCCGGATCCACAGGAACGTGCGCAGGTTGCTTACAAAGCCTGCAGGGAGCCAAGGGAGGCCTAAGTAGGGCCTGGGGGCTGAGGGACGTCAACCCAGCACCAGGAAGTGAAAGGTCTGAGAGCACAAGGGAGCTGGGGAGGACTGCTGGGAGAGGTGAATGGTGAGGGAATGCCTGTGGGAGGGGCCTATACCTAGCAGGCTGAGCATGGAGACTCTCATACCTGTACTGCCAGTACCACCCCCCTGGAGGAACTTGAGGAAGACATAGCTGGTAACAGTCCAGGCCAGAGAGCTCCAAGGTGCCTTCTCAGTCAGCAAGTTCACTGTGGAGAAAACGAGTCAGAGCCCACTATGGCACCCAGGACTCTCTTCAGGCAAAATGGCTCCAGGTACCAGTCACAGCCTCTTTCTGTTCACCCAGCTCTGTCCCACCTCCTTAGGTAAGGACCACCCCAGCCACCAGGCTGATGAAGGACCAGCATACTGAGCTGGGCTCCTCCTGCTCACCAATGTTCCTATAGAATATAGGCACCAATACGTTGAGTGCCCGTTCCAAGCCCATGAGCCCCAGGCAGATGAGCACCACAAGCTGCAGAGCAGGACTCCCCCGAGGCCACAGGTAGCCACTCAGGAGGCGGAGCTTCCTGCCAAAATCTCGCCAGGTAGATTGTTGGGCTGTTGACCGAACCTAGACAGTGAAACACAAAGGAAGGGAGCTCAGAAATCAAATAAGTGCACTAAGTAGAAATCCTCTAGGGAAAAACATGGGGTTACAGCTCCCAGGTATCTCAGACCCACAAATGATCCTTGATGGGTTCAGAAAAACTAAGTCACAAACTGAGATTTGGAAAAGAAGCATTTCATTTTCAGGGGAAGGAATAATGACAGGGAATGAAATGAAGACAGACTCTCGGATTCAGAAACTGAGGAGGGGCCTGGTGCAGCGGCTCACGCCTGTAATACCAGCACTTTGGGAGGCCAAGGCAGGCAGATCATCTGAGGTCAGGAGTTCAAGACCAGCCTGGCCAAACCCTTTCCGCCTGGTGAAACCCCTTCTCTACTAAAAATACAAACATTAGCCGGGTGTGGTGGTGCACACCTGCAATCCCAGCTACTCAGGAGGCTGAGGCATGAGAATTGTTTGAACTCGGGAGGCAGAGAGTACAGTGAGCTGAGATTGTGCCACTGCACTCAGCCTGGGTGACAGAGCATGACTGTGTCTCAAAAAAAAAAAACAAAAAAAAAAAGAAAAAGAAACTGAGGTGTACCTGGTTCCTTTCTACATCTTGGTCGTCTTCATGAACCTGCAGTGTATAGGACTGAGGACGAAGCCCAGGGGCCCAGAGACCCAGGACAAACAGCCCTCCAGAAACCACATACCGAAGCACCCACAGGCTAAACTGAACCTAGAATGAAATATAAGTGGAGAGAGTATCATTGAGGATAAAATTTCATTGTATTACTACTTGTAATAGGGCTGGGGACTGGTGTCATGAACACATGCAGCACTAACAGGCTTTAAAAAAAAGCAAAACCACAGTGACTCAGCAAAGACACACCCCACCAGCTGGCTATCAGCTCCCTGCCAGCCTCAGCCCCTCCCTTCTCCCTTTGCTGAGAGGCATCCTAAAGCCTGGAAGCAGTGTGACTGGACATGCAGTGCTTTCTCCCAAACCCGGCCAGCAGAGGCTTGCTCCTCCCCACAGAGTCCCTCACCTGCTGGCCCAAGTCCGCCCTTGCCCACCACCACTGCGGGCTGTTCCAAGACACCAGGGCCAAGTTCTCGGCTGCAAACGCCACAGTCCAGAGGAGCAGAAGACCCGGGCTGTGCCTGAACTTGATCCAGATGCCCATTGCTAGACGCTGCCGTGCCTGGCTCCTCTCCACCACGAGCAGCCACAGGCCACAGGCGCCTGCCAGACTTTCCAGCACGGAGGCCAGCAGTAGGTAGCTTGGCAGTGGGGCCCCCTGGGCAGTGCCCACCCTGCCAGCCAGGCCGGCCAGGGGCAGCGCCACCTTTAGTGTGGCCAGAAGCAGCTGCAGCACGTAGGGAAAGACGCGAGGGCCGGCCCCCCAAGACACGGAGTCAGAAACAGCGGGCCGCTCCCGGCGTCTGCAGGGAAAAGCCAGCACCAAGGCCAGAGCCCCCAGGGCCATCAACATCGAGGGCATGAGCGTGAAGAAGAAGCAGGGACTCAGCCCATCTTGTGTCCAGGCCGGACCCACGGGCCCTTCGGCCTCGCAGTAGTTGCCTACAGTCACCATGGCAATGCGTAGACGCTGGCTGAGGCTGCGAGCCCTGCGGGACCAGAGGACTGGTCACTCGGAGAGGGGCGCGGACATCCGGGTGCCTCGGTTCACGTAGCCGCAAGGCGCTAAGCTGCTGGGGTCCCGGGGAGGGACGCACGTGGACCCGGCCTCACCGCCCACTCCCCTCGCGCACGCGCCGCCGCCGCGCACTCACGCAGGGCACGTACGCCGTCTCCACCGGGCCCCGCTGGCTCTGGGCCCGGGACCCTTCTGCCACCTGCAGGCCCACGGGAATGCTCGGTGTTGGGACTCGCACTGCGCTCCACGGAGGGAGCCCCGCCCTCCGGACCGCCCCCACCCCTATTCAGGGTCCCCATTGGCCAAATGTCTCTGAAGGGGGCGGGGAGAATGGTGCCTGCAAGGAAGACAAATTAGAGGGGCAGAGCCGGCTTGATTACGTGCTCAGGGCGGGAAATCTGACCTCCAAGTCTGGCTGGAAACAGACCTCCAAGGGTCGGAAGCTGCCCTTCCGCCAGCCGCCTAGCTCAGCGTATCTGAGCGACGGCCTAAACTTACTTTCTTCTAGACACCTGCCAAGTCCCCATCCCATTCCCATTGTTCCCAGGATTCTAGCCACACGAGACAAGAAGTCTGGTCAAAGTCCCTTTTTATTAAGGGTTATCAAGCTGTACACGATCCCTACCCTGCTCCGCTCCGTTCGGGCAGTGTAAATCACCACTCTTCCAAAGCCGGACCACAGCTGGGTGAGGGGTGGGACAGAGAGTAGGAGCAGTCCCAGCATGCAGTGCAGCAGACCAAAGCCTCTGGCGAGGCAGCGCCCTTCATCCCCCTCCAGGGGACAGCGAGATGCGGGCCAGAGCTCTCTTGCTGGGACATACACAGCCGAGGTCACCCTCTAGCCTGGTCTGTCCCATGTGCAGGTGATAGGGGTTATGATAAGCAGCAATGAGGGCCCAGGAAGACCTCAGTCTCCTGGGGGGCCCATCCTAAAAGGTGGAAAGGGCAGCAAAGTATTTCCATCCTGCTCCTACAATTTAGAAACCTTCTTTCTTAGTGTCAAAAGATAGCGTTGAGGGGAGCTGGAAGCTAGGGCCTTCACCCCAACGCAAAGCAACAGCTCAACAGAATGGGAGCAAGCGAACAGAATGGGAGCAAGCAGCACACACAGGCCAGTGATGTGCAGGAAGCGGAGAGAGGTGAGCCGGCTGCAGCTCCGGGCGAGAATGGTGGGTGAGGTAAGGGCCACAGCCTAAGCTGCTCATCTATTGAGGGTGTTGGGGAGGGTTGCAGGGGTTGAGGGTCCAGGCCCAACCTCCCCATTCCACAGTTGGCACAGGTTCTCCCTGCTTGGCAGCTTCTGTGGTGGGAAGCCCTCTGGGGACTCGTGGGGTTGGTATAAAGGTGGCAGTACTGGGGCTGGGCTGGGGACCAGTTTCTAGCACCACACTCTGAGCCAAGGGGGTCCTGGGGATGAGGCTAGAGTCTTCTGTGCACTCAGTTCCTAGGCCCCAGATTCCTCTCCTGGGACTGTGGCAAGCCCAGTGTTGGCACCTCCCTTGGCCAGGCACAGACACACAAACACCACACACGTGGAGCCAGGCAACACTCAAAGGAGCCCTCCATGGTAGGCAGACGAGATGGCAGGACAGCAGTGGCCTCCATCCTGGGCCATAGGAACCCTGCTCAGCCTTGTCTATACCTGTGAAGAGAAAGGGTTGATAATGGAGATAGTCTTCAGCTACTGGTTGACACCTGCTAGCCCCATAGGAACCTAGAGGTAAAGGAACAGGAAAGGTTGATTCCTGGGGAGGTAAGGGAAGGAAAAACCAAGCCCTACAGAGCAGTTGAGGAAAGAAGGGGGACTGCATTTTGGAGGGGAGGGTCCATTATCTCTGTGTGGGGGTGGGGCCTGGGCAGGAGTTGAGCACACTTTCCTTCCCCTGAAAAGCTGTTACCACACCCTGGAAGTTACTACTTCTGGCAATTGTTTCTAGGCCCTTACCTTGTGCACCTGAGGGGGAAGCTCATCCTCTGAGCCCTCCTCTGGCACGGGCTCAGGGTGCCTTGATGCTGACTGCCCATCTTCAGCCCACCCTCCAAGAGGCAGCCGAGAGAAATGAGAGGGAGCCCGGGGCACTGTGCCAGGATCTGGAGAGACAAAGTAAGAGTAAGCATATTCACAGAAGGAACACAAGAATGAGGAACAGGGCTGGGGGGCTGCTTGGAGGGGTAAGTCTTTGGGCCTGGTCCCTCAGACCTCTTTCCTCCTCTCAAGAGGCCCCGGCAGAACCACTCTTCCTGGCAGCCTCCGATTCCTCCTATACTCCCACTGGATACCTGTGATGCCCCCGTAGCGCCTGTGGAAGCCCCCGTGTAGGGCGGTGGTCTCGGGAGCTCCAGGCCGGGGTGCTGCACAGGGATAGCTGGCAGAGCGAGGGATAGATTGGGGGGCCCGGGCGCCTTCTCCCCCCTCTTCAGGGGCGCTCTCTCCACTCTCATCACTTTCCCGGCGGTGCCACACATGCCGCTCAGGTTCAGCCTGGGCTTGCTGCTTGTGGAGCTGGAGAAGTGGAGGGCTCGTTAGTGGGAGACAGAAGGATGTCCATCTGAAATAGCTGCCCTCCAACCTGGTATCAATCAGTTCCCACTTTACCCCTTCCCTGAGAATCCTTGCCTCAGAGCACCTATTATGTCAATAGTGTATAATATACCTCTGATCTCTACAGGTTACATTCACAGCAGATCCCTGGAAGAAACCTGTGTTGTAATGGCCCTCATTTTACCTATTAATTTGATTCAAGGACAAAGTGACTGACAGTCTAAGTGCCAGGCACTCTTCTAGGTATGGGGAGATAGCAGTGAACAAAACAGACAGAAATGCCAGCCCTTGTGACTCTTATATATTGGTAGAGGGGGACAGAGAATAAGCAAATAAGAAAAAAACATGGTATGTCACATGGTGCTAAATGCTGTGGAGAAAACTAAGACAGGAAGATTCAGGAAGGTGGGCAAGGGAGCCTTTTACTGAGAGTGATCAGAGAAAGTCTCAGGGAAACGGTAGCTGCAGAGACCTGGGAAGGAGAAGAAGGAGGCCATCCAGATATCCCAGGGAAGTGGATTCTAGGCAGGGGAAACTGCGAGTGTGTGAAGGCCCTGGATGAGAGCACGCTTGGCTAAAAAGGATATTAAGAAAGTAGATATGGGAGTGGTGGTGGCAGGGCAGCTAGATGGCAGAGAAGGGATTGGAACCCCAGTGTTGCCTCTCCGCATTGAAACCCCCTACTCTGTTTTTCAGCTACGCACTCACCTGGTGCATATACAGGGCATGCAGGCTCATCTCTGTGGATGCGTATTCCGACAGCACCAGGCTCTGCAGCTGTCCTTCCCACACACTGCTCCCGGAGCTGGCCGTCCTGGCATCTACCCTGTCTCTCCCAGCACAGACAGACAGCAGCTGTGAACTTTTCTGAGACCCACACAGGCTGCTGAGGGCTGCTGTGCCCTCCCGTCTTGGCCCCTCTTTACTCACCCAGAGCCTGTCATGGTGCTGGGAGCCCGGCCTGTGGGCACCTGCCCGGACTGCAGAGGGGAGAAGGAGCGCAGGGCAGAGGCAACTTCAGCCCTGTGCCTGGAGCCCTGCAGGTCTCTGGGCAGTGGAGGGCCCCGGCAGGATGAGCCAGCTACCACATTTGCGATAAGGCTCAGTGGCTATGAAAGAAAGGGGTAGTAGAATTCTTGAGGCAGGAGAAAGGCCTCTAGGGTCCCCTAGTATTCTGTATCTCAGGCCCCAATGGCACATACTGAAGAGACAGAAGGAAGCCTTCCACCCTATGCCCGATCCTCAACTCCCAGCTCCTGAGGTCCACTCTGCCCATCATCTCCCAGTCTCTAGGAACACACCTCAGACTCAGATTGTAAGGACTGGATAGACGTAAAGAGGGCATTTTCAGGGAGCAGACCCCCTTGGGCGAGACTAGCAGCTGCTCCATCCCGCTGAACCTGCTCCTTGAGGAAGCCTAGGAAAGCTGTGCTCTCACGTGGTGGCTGCCAGCCAGGGTTGGTGATGGCAAAGTGCATGAGTGACAACTCTGTCTTTCCATCCTCGGCTTGCTGGTACACGGAGGCCTCTGTCTGCCCAGCAGACAGCCACTGCACAAGGAAGAGCAGAGTGAGCAGGACTGTCCTCTGATAGGGACCATCTTGTACCTTTCCTATTAGCAGGAGGTCTTGCTCTTGGAGGACAGAGACCACAGTCTACTATCAAATCTTTCCCAGGGGCCCTGCCACTCCCCATCCCAGAAGTGACCACATGCTAAGCCAGTTACTTGTGCTGTGACTTTCTCAAGGGAGCTTTGCCAAGGGTGCAAATTCAAGCTGAACTCCAGCCCAGGCTCCCAAGCAGTGTGCCCCTAGTACAGGATTGCCTTTGTGTGACTCGGAAGAGGTATCTTTCTGCGGTTTTCCCAAAGACACTGTATGTGCCAGCATCATCCCTGGCCACCTGGCCCCCTCCTCTCCCAGTACCTGGGGATGACCATGCTGGCGAACATCCATCTGAGCAAAGGAGCAGGTATCTCCAACACCAACGACCTCCACGGTGAAGTTTCGGAAGAAGTCTATAATCTCCAGGGCCCGGGGGCGCAGGCAGAAGATGAGGATGAGGGGTGTGACAATGGGGCTCAGCAACTCTTCCAAAATGAACACCTAAAAGGGCGGGACCAAGGTCATAAGTGAGCAGGAGGGAGCCCAGCCCTCGCCACCGAGCTATCAGCCAGTCTCTAGTAGGCCCTAACTCCAACTCCACTCACTGCCTTGTACTGGAAGAGCTGGGCAAACTCGTCCCGGGTCTGCGAGCGGTGGGCATTACCCTGCCAGTGGTCAGGCATGTAGTGGATATGAGCGAGGATCACGCGGAGCAGCTGCTCAGGGCAGAACACCATGTGCTGGTCCGGGATAAAGGACCTAGTGGGATCAGGGTCATGGTGAGATGTAAGCCTTTCCTGGGAATGCTAGATGGCTTGCTCCCACCTGTGGCCCTGGCCCACCTGCACACGGTCACGGTGACCCCCAGGAGTGTGACGGTGGTCAGGACGTGTTCCACAGCCAACACATCTTCGTCATAAATGGTGAGGGCAATAAGCACAGCCAGGATGGAGCCAGCGAAGAAGGCTCCATTCTTGGCCAGCAGTGTCAAAAGAGGTGACAAGAAGCAATTCATGTACTTGGAGGCAGGTTTGTAGCCGCGGTTCAGGCGGGACTGCAGCTCATGCTCCAGCTCGTTGAAGTGGCGGAGGTAGCAGCGGCCATAGAGTGACCAGCAACGTGCTCCC